TGGGTGCTCCTGGCAACCCAGGAGAGAGAGGACCCCAAGGACTACAAGGATCGCAAGGCTTTCCAGGACCACAAGGACTTATTGGTTTACCAGGATTAAAGGGTGATCGCGGTTATCCAGGTTCAAAAGGAGACCAAGGAAATCCTGGACCATCTGGTAAAAAAGATAATACATAGTAAATAATAAAAAAATATGTCAAATTTAATATTTAACACAAACGTAAAATATAAATTCTGAATATAGGTAATCCAGGTGAACCTGGACCACAAGGTCTAATTGGATTAACCGGAGCTAAAGGAGTGCGAGGTGAACCAGGAGCTAGAGGAGAGCCTGGTATTGTAGGACCACCAGGAATACCAGGAAGCGTTGGAGCAATAGTATATTTCTTCCTTTACTGTTAAAAATATTAATTAAATATTAATACAACTTAGCTTTATGATTTAAAACCTACATAGGGTCCACCAGGTGCGATAGGACCACTAGGACCACCTGGATTACCAGGTAGCAAAGGTAATATTGGAGAAACAGGACGAACTGGAAATCCTGGACCAATTGGAAATCCAGGCCTACCTGGTGTAGATGGAAGTAAAGGTGAAAGTGGTTCTCAAGGACCATCAGGAGTTCCTGGACCTCAAGGTCCTCAAGGTGCTCCTGGTGAAAGAGGACTACCTGGTTTACCAGGCCCTTCTGGACCAATAGGTGCTAGAGGAATACGAGGAGCACCTGTGAGTTTAATTAACATTTTTATCTTATAGAACTTATAAATAACAACAATTTTATATTAGATTATAATAATCCATTTATACTTTACTCAATATATTATAACATTTATATTTTATTCAACTTCATCCCTTCATACTTTATTTGATATAATATAATATTACACAATATAATAGGGTGAATCTGGTGTACCTGGAAAACCTGGGCCAGAAGGACCAACTGGACCTCCTGGACAAGTTGGTCCAATTGGATCACCTGGACCATCAGGAGAAATTGGAGCAGAAGGACCTAGTGGTAAACCTGGACCACCAGGAATAGCAGGTCGACCTGGAAATAAAGGACCACCTGGAGCAGTAGGACAAACAGGGTTACCTGGTCCTCCAGGATTACCTGTAAGATATGCCTATATTACATTTATTAGAAATTTCAACAGTTATATACAAAGTTTTAATATCACATGAAAGTAGTTATATTTGTATGAACATATTGATATCTAGGGACCACGTGGTCAAGCAGGTCCTATAGGACCAACTGGGGAAAGAGGACAGAAAGGAGAAACAGGACCACAAGGTGTAGAAGGACAACAAGTTAGTTATCTTACTTATATTGGTAATTAATATATCATAATGATTTAGATAATTCATAATTAAGCATTACTATTTATTTTTATTACAATTTTAAACTAAATGAAATAAAAAAATGTAATTCTGTTCATACAATTAGGGACCTAGAGGAAAACCAGGACCTATAGGATTAGAAGGTCCAAAAGGTGAACGTGGAGAAGAAGGTCAGAAAGGTGTGAAAGGCCATCAAGGATTTATTGGTTTACAAGGTCTACCTGGACCTATTGGTCCACCAGGGGAAAAGGGAATACCTGGACTTCCTGGACTACCTGGTAAAGATGGTGAAACTGGACCTAGAGGTAGTCCTGGACGAGACGGTAATCCTGGGCCAATTGGATTAACTGGTAATCCAGGGCCAAAAGGTCCAACAGGTGAAGAAGGTCGTCATGGATTATCAGGACCACCTGGTCCTCCAGGACCTCCAGGCCCACCTGGTGAACTTGGATTAGGATATGATGCTGCTTCTTTAGCTGCTCTTTTAGGTAATGATTATAATCTTTTTTAATATATTTATATTTATATTTTTACGAAGTAAAAGTCGGAATTACTTACCTTTAATACTATTAAATACTATTCTATAATTATAAACATTGAATAACATTAGTAATCATTATTATTACTAAATTATACTTAATATTATTAGTAAACATCCTTGACCATCAATACTACAAGGTTAACTTTTGTTATATGAATAGGGCAAGGCCAAACTAAAGGGCCAGATCCATTAATTGGTGATGAACCACCCAGAATGTTTGGTCAAGATATGACTGAAGAAGAAAAGCAAGAACTCATTTCGAAAGCATACAAACAATTAAAATCATCATTCCAGAAATTTATCAAACCAGATGGTGGAAAAAATTCACCAGCCAAAACTTGTAGGGATCTTTACACTGCTTATCCCGATAAACCTTCTGGTTAGTTAAGAAATTAAAAAGTATTATATGATGACTAAAATCTTATTTCGTAATGTATTTTGGAACATTGATTTATTTCTTGAAAATATTTTTTCACTTTAGGGGAGTATTGGGTCGATCCCAATGAAGGAGATACAAGAGATGCAATTTTAGTGTATTGTGTTGCTGATAAACATGCAACATGTATATTACCAAATCCAGTACGTTCCCCAGAAATTAAATATATTACTGAACAACCAGAAACTTGGTTAAGTGATATAGAAGATGGAATGAAGGTAACACATTGTACTAAACTCACATAATAATGTAAGTCTTCAATATGTCAAATTAATTTACTATTATTTTTAATATGTGTGATATACAGATTACATATAAAGCGGACAGCAATCAAATTGGTTTCCTACAACTTCTATCAAAACTTGCATATCAAAATATAACGTATCACTGTAAAAATAGCATAGGTTACTTCGATTCTATACGAAAGACATACAGGAAGGGAATGAAATTTTTAACATGGAATGATGCTGAATTAACACCTCGTGGAAATCAACGTTTAAGATATGAGATAATAACTGATGAATGTAAAGTAAGTTTTAAATTATTCAGGTATTAAAATCTTAATTTAGACAAATTTCTAACAATAAAATATTATAACATCTATTTAAATTGATTTTTATAGGTACACAATGGAGAATGGGGCAAGACAGTAATTTCATATCAAACCGATAAACCTGTAAGATTGCCTCTAATAGATGTGGCCTTACGAGATATTGGAAAACCTGATCAAAGCTTTTATATTGAAATTGGTGCTGTTTGTTATGAATAATAAATTAAAATTTTATAAATACATTTTTACACTATTATTATATGTATAATTAAAATATTTTCTTTACTTCGACATTTTTATATATGTACATATAGAGTTTATAAATTTATATTTCCAATGATCCAAATATTTTGAGATATGTTAGTCACTAATTTTTTATTTTTTCATAAATTACGTACATCGAAAAATATTATAATATGTATTACAACAAATGTAATTTTATATGATGAATATGCTACAAATAATTCAAAATTTTGACAATTTATACTAGCAAAAATTTTATTAAAAATTTTAACAAATATAATAGTCTTCCAATAGATTTAAATTCAAAATATATACATACATAAATATATATATATATATATTATTTTAATATATATATATATAATATATATATATATTATATTAAAATTAGTATGCACATATACATGTAAAATACTTAATAAATATTAAGATAATTACGTAAGTAATATCTTATTTATCATATTACCAAACTACTCTATATGTTATAAGTGAAATTATATACATATGAAATAAAAGAGTGTCTTGGTTTTGAGTCTAAATTTTTAAACTCACACATTCTCATCAAATACAATCATTTATTTGTAACTTTGGAGAACTCTGAATCTTATGAAAGAAAAATTTTTAATATAATATTAAATTAATTCTTACAAAAAGCTTTATTATTATCATCATCCAAAGCAATACAAATAATATATACATCTTAATATTAATAATATAAAATCACTAATTATTAAAGTATGTTCAAATCAATTTTATATAAGAAATAATACTTGGAAATTATATTTTTTATGTAAATTCCTGTAATGGAAATTTTAATTCTTTGTGTTTTGTGTTACATTAATATTGCTATCATAATTTTAGAACTATTTTGGAAGAGACTATATATTAATTTAATATATTTACATGTACTCTATATGGCTAAACTTAGATATCAGTTAAATATATAGCACCTTTTATATTCTGAGATTATAGAAAACGAATATAGTTTTATGGTTTTATGAATTATCTTAGAAAATGATTTATACTTAATGCTATTAAGAATTAAATAAATTAAATAAAATTTATATAAAATTTAATACACTATAAAGGTTTATAAATGTAAAGCTTTTTAGATATTAGTATTAAAAAGAATTTTTCTATTATTTGATTCGTAGTACACTATTACATATAGAAAAATAGATTTCATTCATTATAAAAGTATTTATGAATATAGAAAAATGAAAATAACACTATTAATAATACATTACTTCACATAATTGGGTTAGGTTAATACATTAACTTTTAATTGAATACATTACTTCTCTAAATGAATTTAACATTCTGTAATTTGAGTAAAAAATTTTATTATAGCAACTTTTTATATTCATTAATTTTTAATTAACATATGTTTAATATAAGCATACATAAATATATTTCAAATATGGATGTATTTATTTATAAATGCATATTTAAACATTTATTTTTTATTTATTTCTTCAAAAAAATCAACAATAGTTAGTGGTGTTGACATCAGTCAAAGTTGGTAATAAAAATAATAATTTTTATACTTCATATATTTTATAAATCAATATTTGCTATTTAATACTACACATAATGATTATATACATACATATGCCGCGTAAATGTCAAAAAAATATGAAATCTCAGTCACAAAATTATTATCCTGATCCATTATGTGAATTTGATGTATATGTGTAGATATACGTACACATTCATTCAACAGGTGCTAGTGGTAGGGAGAAAGAAGCGCGAATTGGTGACTAAAAAAAGGTAGCGGCGTTCAGTGACTGAGTTTCAGTCACGTTTGTCATGGCGTATGTGTAACATTTTTGTCGCTTCGTGTATAGTGCTACATTGTATTGTGATTTAGAAATGTTAATACAATAACTATTTCTATTACATTTTGTACAAAGTTTGTTATGTGTATATATAAATAAGTTAAATCAACAATGTTTAAATTCCTAATTTAATATAAATAATTGTATTGACAAAGGGTAACATAGTTTTGTGAATATTGTCCTGCAAATTGGCGGGATATTGATTATTCGTTTTATGATCTTAGACAAGATATATGTGAAAGAGGTTAACCTGACTGTGCATTGTACAATAAAGTCGGAAACGGCTGATGTAAGTAATGCGTGATACTTATTTCCAATAATCCTGTATTAACATTTGTTTAGTAATTATCATCTGAATATATTAAGTATTAAAATTGTATAGAATATAAATGTTCGTATTTTAATTTTTTTTTCAGTTGCAATCCAATATTTATACAGAATTACATTTTTGATCAAAAAAATTAAAAACCAAAATGATTTTATTAATTTTAAATTTAAATAAAAAATACATTATTTTTTAAATTATGATATTAATGTATTGATTTTCATTTTATTCAGTCAATATGGTTTATTATGTGCCAGACGTATCTTTGAAAAGTGAGATATTAGTAATGAAAATAACTATAGTATGATTAAAATAAAGCAATTTTTAATCAAGATATAATATTGTCTTTCTCAAGTTCGAAAAATTGCGTTTTTAATTTTTTAGGTATAAAAATATATTAGTATGTGATGTTATGATCAATATAAATCTTAACAAATATTTAATGTATTAGTAATTTTGTCATATATGCAAAAAATTCTTTTATTAAATTTAAAGAATTTTATTTCATTTTAGATATTTGAGAGTAAATTAGTTAAGAAAATAATTCGAAAGAATTCTTCATTACGAATTGTTTTAATGAATGATTTGTAACATGGAAAAAAATTAAATTCCAATTTCAATAATTTTTGACTGTTATTTTTGTTTAAAATTAGGTGTGATAACAATGCAATCTATCAGTTTAAACTTACTATTCATTTTGACTTTGAATGTCATTAAATCTTATGAAATAAATTTTAAGAGTTAACAAATCGATAATATTAATCGTGTCAAATATTGTGCAATATTTATCACTGATTGAGAGTTTCAATAGATAATATTAATGTTATGCATAGTACAGAAATGAGATAATACTCAAAGTGCATTATGGATTGCTTTTATAGCAATTTTGATAATTCAGCTATAAACATATGTGTTTGGCGGCATATTTAAATATTTCGTGCGCTTCTAATCAAATTTTCCATATCTTCTGTATACAGTGTGTGACATTACATAATATTACGTAATCCAAATACTATGGCGGGTTAAATATAGAATTCGGATATTCTGGTTTTTTTTCAGCATCTTCGAGGAAACATACGATTTCGAACCCGACCAGGCAAAGAATGAAACAGCGTTGTTTCTGAATTATTACTGGCATTTGCGAAAGCATGAGGCAATGCAAATGAACCAATAGTTTACATAGTTGATTAAATACCGAAGATATCTTTCAAATTAACTTGACACGGATATTTCTTACCAATTATTGATAACGAATCACTTATTAACAACGGTTAACTTCAAATATAGACACTATTTAAAAACTCAAGACATCGACCTGACGTTCCTATATTACTGACTAATCGTGCACGGTAACGGACAAAATGGCTCTCTTCCGGAAGTTCAATGGTAAGTACTCTGCAATTTCAAAACTCTTTTGTCGCATTCCTTGCTATCTCTGTACATATTTATTACAATTCTTATTTCTTCCTTCGACATGTAATTTTTTTATTCATTGTTTAATACCATAAAATTTGCATGTTACATAATGAATAATTAATTGAAATTTATATAAATAAATATTAAAATTTTAATTTTATATTGCAAAAAAAAGGTCGGGATTGCATTTTTATTTGTACGTATAAAAAGTTATGCGAGTAAAATTGGAAAAAATTATAAATCGAGTGGTAAAGTGATATAAAGAAATTTAAAATAAATACACTTTGAGTTTATTGGTGTATCAAATACTGTTGGAAACTGAATCCCTTCTTATCTGTTATACTGATAGAAATATATACCGTACCAAGGAGACTACGAGTCGTCGTAGTGATTAAAATCAAGTTTAATTTTAAAGGGGATTAAATTTTGTTATACGGAATATCAAAAACATTGACTCATTTTTCATAATTATTATTAATTCTATCTACCGTGTTTTGCGATAGTCGAATTTTTATTTGTAAGCAAAAATAATTTGGAAATGTAACAAATGTTTCTATAACGAAATCGTTAATCGTTAATTTAATGGGTATCGATCGTTAAACTTGACTAATTAGCGACATAACGTGGAAATACGCGAATGCAATTATTTTATACAGTAGATACTATTTTAGCGAATGTGTAGTATACGATATGTATTGTTACTATTATTATTGACCAATTATTTTTAGCGCTAAATAAATATTAATATTATTATTATTTATTTAATATTCGTTATCGTATTTTACGTTTAATTAAATGTGACATCTGTAATATTTTTCTAATAATTAATTTTTCAATGTCACGTTAAGGACATTCTCTTTACACGCAAATCACGTGTGATTTATTTTGGTGGGATCGTTTGCAAATGCGTATCTCACATATAAGCATTACGGAAATAGATTAAAGCATGCACATATTTTAGTTATGCGTGTGTGTATTGTAGGTAGTTTTATACATATATGAAGGACATTCCTTTTTAACAGAGAAGTAATCGACAACAACGGATTTATAGTCATAATTATTTAAAGACTGAAAGTGTGTTTAACCTATATAGACCTATGATGATTGCGTAGATGTTTAGTCGAGTTCCTCTGTTCAAGTCATTAACGAAACAGTGTATATGATCCAAATGATAGTATGGGTCATCGGAGATATATACGTATACAGCTTAAATGGAAGTCGCACGATAATAGCATGACGCAAATGTATTTACTTATCACGACATAATTCTCGTATATAACAAATAATGCGATATCCACTATTTTATACATACGGTGTTATAATTTTATTGTATATTTCTGCTTGTTCACAATAACATGTGTTTATAAATATGTTGTTTTCACAGTCACGCGATATTTTTCTATTTTTCTATTTTTATAGTCTTGTGTTTTGACTGAAAAAGCTGCAGTATTAAAATAAAATGGATATAAAAATTTCACCGATATTATTTGATCAAAATTATTTTTATTTTATAACTTTGTTAACTCTATTCTAGAAAGGATTTAAAGTTTAATAACAATTGATATCTCAATTATCTAAATAAATAAATGAATAGTTTAGTATTTCGGTTACTTTTCAGAATAGAAATTTTGCATAGTTAAAAATCAAATATTTAATAATTAAATTGCAATTTAAATCTAATCATGCAAATTTCGATTATACTTTGTAGTATTCTATTGTAGTATCTAAATAAATAAATGAATTGTTTAGTATTTCAGTTACTTTTCAGAATAGAAATTTTGCATAGTTAAAAATCAAATATTTAATAATTAAATTGCAATTTAAATCTAATCATGCAAATTTCGATTATACTTTGTAGTATTCTATTGTAGTATCTAAATAAATAAATGAATTGTTTAGTATTTCAGTTACTTTTCAGAATAGAAATTTTGCATAGTTAAAAATCAAATATTTAATAATTAAATTGCAATTTAAATCTAATCATGCAAATTTCGATTATTCTTTATAATATTATTATTGAAACTACTTGCATTTTAAAATTTGTTTACTTCTGTTGTATTATTCCTGAATATCAAATTTTTTTTCTCCCTTAAATCACGAGCAAAACAAATAATTATCATTATATATTCATCGTAATACATTACGACATTCGTTTTAAACATATCTCCACACTTTTAATACTTGGAGAAATAATCGGGAGTATATATTTAAACGAAACCTATTCTATGTTGATCATACACGTTAAACTTATATCCTGGTACATGAATTTTAATATTTACTATCTTTTTTAAATATTTTCAATTATATTTTTCTTTAATTAATTTACCAATAAGAAAATGAAAAATATGTGACATATACAATGTCTCTATTTTGTATTAAAGAGTTGATTCGTTCATTTGATGCATGTTAGCGATTAAATGTCGTAGTGACGTGTTTATTTGGGGCAAACGCATACGCACGTCAAGCACAACTAAAATTTATTGGAAGTCAAATACGGAGGTCAATTTCCCGATTTGATTGATATATACATATATCATATACACACGATTACACCGTCCATTACGATATTTCCCTTTTTTGCAATATGCATTGAGTGATTCTTATAGACTTACACGTTCCGAACACGAATCCCTGAGCAGAATTGCTGTATCACCCTGAGTTTTCGAAAAAGTCAAATTTTTGGCAAAACTGGCGATTTTGATCAAAAACCAACTATTGCGTGAAAATTAGAAACGTTAGAAAGCTTTAATTGGTGTTAAATGAACGTAGTTCATTTTTACCGTAGTATTTTTACATTTTTACAAAATGTTATTCATCTAGCACGAATAGAACCGGATTCTGTAGATGTTTCTGAAGAAGAAACCATCTAGTAGAATTGTTGAAACGTGTTTTAATTCCCACAGATCAACAAATATCTATTAGAAACGCCATTGCCACCAAGCGGTCATCGCTCCATTACAAATAGTTAATATATGCTCAGATAATGCATGTAATAATGATACGTGTACTGGAGTACACGTATACACGTGTATTACGAATTACATGGATGTAAACACGCGTATATTAATTATACGTGTAAACGTGAATGTGCAATACACGTCCAAAACCACCTGTAATAGCTACGGCACTGCTTACGCAAAACAATGGAGCGATGACCGCTCTTTGAGAATTAAAAAATCGCCTTGACATTTCTGTTGGACGGTTTCTTCTTCAGAAATGTCAACAGAATCCGGTACTATATAGAAAATTCATATTGGATAAATAACATTTTGTAAATATGTAAAAATGGTACGTAGAAGCTCGTCGTTCGTCGATGCCTTTTTGAAATTCTATGGCTATTCATAATGATTTAATATTGCAAAATATTATAATCATAGATACTGATGTATTCAGGGATCTCTTTTGTGTCATCTGAGACTAATTAGAGATTTTTAACTTTTTTAGTTTTTACGTAATACTTCGTTTTTTTAAAAATCGGCAGTTTTGCCAGAAATTCGATTTTTTCGAAAACTGAGGGTGATACAGTAATTCTACTTACGAATTCGTGTTTGGGACGAATGATTCTACAAGAATCACACAGTGTACATTGCAAAAAAGAAAAAGAGTTAAAATTTATTGAACAAAAATAAATATATTATATAATAAATGATATGATGATATTTCTAATAATAATAATAATAATAATAATAATAATAATAATAATAATATATAATAATAAAATTATATAATAATATTATATTAAATTTTATTTTATATTTTAATATAATAAATATATTAAAATAAAATTTATTTAGTATTATGTATTATTTATTTACTGTAGACTAATAAACCGTGTTTAGAAACATAATATATCGATTTAAAATTAATCATTAATTATACATAATTAAAATTTGAATCGAATGCTCTAGGTTAGTACGATGTTTTAATACATTGATAATAATATTACTGCTACGTGTGTTATTTATCTCGACCTTAGTATTTTTTATATTTTTAGTAACAGAGAAAAATAAATAACGAAGAATTTGTTTGGTCTTGCGTGAAGTAACATTGCAATAAAGTATTTTATTTTCAAAATTTTCTTTTTTATTGAATGCTCGAAATATCCGAAATTTATTAAGAACGGTAACATGTTTCTATTTATTATACTGTTGTAGGAGACAAATGTAATCACGTAATCTTTCATTTATCTTGGTAATCTTCCACTTCATTTGAATAACAAAAATTATTTATACGATGACAAAGTAGCCACAACATTTACATGGTTAAAAATACATATATAAACTTTCTCGATTATCGTTTATATATCTTTTCGCAGTAAATAAACAAAATTATTTTGCGCATTTGACAAATTGATAGTGATAAATGTGCATCGAATTATCTCTTGTATGTTTTTGATGTTAAATAGATAACACACGATAAGTTACATTATTTAACCTGTTAACCGAGAAATTCATGAAAAGCTTCTGCAATCACACTGTTAGAAATTTATAACAAAGATCTGCATTTGATTAGATCGATTTAAATTAAAATAAACGTACTAAACTACTGAAAAACGTTACTAAAACTATAATAAAACGTTAAAAAACAATAAATCAGGAAAGAAAACATTTTTCCATTCAAAATGTTTGTAATTCGTGTAAGAAATAAAAGTTATCCTCGATATTTTTGAAACTCAGATAGATACATACTTGCACAATTGTATAAATTTTATTGTTCGTATTTCTATTTGAAACTGACTTTTATTGTTCAAAGTCATTGAAGGTTGAATAACATTTAACTTGTTCTACACTACTATAATGTGAAAATAAAATAGTTGAAGATCAAAATAGAAATGATTTTGAGATGATTTCAAAATTGCTTACTACAATATTTCTTATAGAAAATCAAACATTTTTCCTTCACAAGACTTCTTTGCGTTGCCAGAATAGATAAAATGTAGGCGGGCAAGGATAAGTGAAATACAGTGTATA